CCCCAAAACCCCAAAACCCCAAAACCCCATGAGTTCAAATTTTAGAGGAAATAAGATGTTGCTATTAATATTTCAATAATATGCATGTATATATGGCCTCATAGTAGTTACCATTTGCTCTTTATAGGTATTTTAATAAGGGGCTATTTTTCAAATAGATAAGAATCCAAAAGCATTACTCTAAATGTCTAATTATCAGCTTTTTAAGTTTGGTACTATTTCTAAGCACTAATATATTCTTGCCTATTTTATAACCTAAGCTATTGGCGATCCTTATACTCTTTCTAATATTTAATGATACCTTTCTCTATAAATTCTTCGTTTCTTAACTTCATTTCTTTATAAAGGTTTTAAAATTTCTATTGAAGAGCCAAATTTTAGGTGATAATGGGTACTTTATTATTTAAGCTTTTTCTTCTTGATGATTTTAATCCAGGGGCCAAACTTTGATATTTCAAAAATTATTTTGGCTGATTATTTTGTATTGATTTGAGATTTTCATAATCAAAGGCAAATAGAGAGAATATTTAATGATCTTTGATAAATTTATAGGATTTCATAAAACAGTGTTACTCTTGCTTAAATGATAAGTCAGTGATCTATGTTTTCTCCTAAAAATACTTGAAATTCAGTTTTTCTTTATTTTTTGGAGAGATTGATGTTACAGTCATCATAAACAAGCCGTTTGAACTAGCTGTTGTTTGCCTATTATTTTTTCTACCACAAGAAGAGAGGTTCTATTCATTTGAGGATGATTGTGTAGTAAGCTGTGATTTTCCTACTTATAAAAAACTAACTATAGATTTGCTTAGATTCTTGAAGGTATAGCTGCTGTTTTAACTATCAAAAATCATATTGCTGCATAATAGTGAGAAAGTTTCACAACATAAGTTTTAAAATATCATAATACACTAGTCTAGTTCTTATCTAAGCCCTTAAATATCTTTAGATTTAGATACATCCTTTATAGTTTATTCGTCAATTTATGCAGGACTGACAATTAAAATTTACGTTGCATAGTCTAAGAACTCTTAAACTTCCTTGTTTTCAAATCCTGGTTTAAGAATAAGAATTAGATCTATAAGCTTTTCATTTTAAATTCCGAGTTTATCAAATAGAATTGGGAATATATACTTTTTTAATGTTGATCTTTTAAGATAGGTAACTAAGACAATCTAAATAAATCCTTTAGTTTTCTCTCTAATTAATTGTAAACCCTCTTTAATACCGTCTCTAATCAATAATAAAGTGGAAGTCATATGTATCAGTACTCCCTCTAATTTTACAACCAATACTTTTTCATGTTGTTAATCAGTAATTTTTATACTTTTTGGTTTCGCTTTTATCTTCGTCACAACTTTAATTCCAGGAGATAATGTATCATTATCATTGAGAAGTTGTGGAAATTCAGCTAACTATTCTTCCTTCGACTGAAGTTGTTCTACATCTTCATTTTTAGTGTTAGTATTCTCTTTAGTCTCTGCTTCTGATATTAACAGTTCTTACTTAGATTTGTGAGGTATTTAATCGTATTCTTTTAATTCAAGCAGAGCTATTTCTTTGAATCTTTAGAGTTAGCTAAATGGAGTTCTATGTTAGTGAATCAAATGACTTGTATTTGGGCTTAGAAGTGGCTTTGACGATTGAGAAATCTTCTAGTTTTAAATTATTTTTGATAAATCTTGATTCAATGGAGTTCAATGTAAGGAAGCTTTTGAAGTCTTATCTCTGAAAGAATTCTTAGGAATAGATAAAATTTAGCTACGTTGCTTATCAAGCTGCATTTAGATGTCATCTTGTATAATTTGGTAGTCAGGCCTGTTTTGAATAATTTTAGGACGTAAATTCTTCATTACAAGTGAGTTGCACTACTTTTAAGTTTGATTGTAGATTTAGTTATTCTAAGATCTGATATTATAAGGGGTCTCAACCATTCACAGGTCCATTAAATCAAGTGACTTCTATTTATTGAAATCTTAGGATTTTGAACTATCATTTTCATCACTGTCAAAATTTGGGAAATTCTTAGACATTGACTACTAGGTCATATCATACCTACATTAAGAATCTTTCAGTTTTTACTAGGATTGTCTTTACTATATCATGAATTGATTTAACTAGGTAATTTTATGATGAATTTGAGGAGCATTATTCATATTCTTTCTCAGCTTCCTTTTAAATTTAGCAGGCTCTTCTGAGTATTGCTAGATGTCCATTATAAAGAACTTTCTTTTTGCTGCATCGTTATTATGCTTGTAATCACTCTTAACATTCTAGTTTTCTAGAATAACATTTCGAGATCCAAAAGAGGAATTCTGAGCCTTTAATAAATCAATTTTTTTCTCAGATTCCAAGCGATTCTTTGATCCATCCGTTCCAATCAGATTTATTTTTTTATCAATAATTGGTGTCTAGTTAATCTCTAAAAACGGTAATGACTGCTTACGTCCTTAAAATGGAGTACCGTTTGGCCTTAACCTACTCATTGTTTATTGCATGTATGCTTTCCTAGGATTTTAAATCCTTAATATTTCTGGTGTTCTCCCTTAAACATCGATATTACATTCTAAGTTTGAATTTTTCTACAGCTGCACCATTTCAATATTGTTAATAGTTACTTCGTTTGGGGTAAATTGATTTTTCATGTAGTTCTTTACGTACTGCCTTTTTATTTTCTTATAATTATCTCTTCCAAAGTTTTGCTAGGTGGCAAGCAATTATCTCTTTAATTCAGCTTCACCTATATTCTATTACGAGATATTCTGAGTTTCAGTCATCACCTACTGCTGATTCATTTTATGAAGAGCAATTTTCTTCATGAATTAGTCCTTGAAGATGCTATCCGTTAGAGTGTTTAAGTTTACTGTGTTTTGCATTTTCTTACTAGTAGTCTGGTGCTTCTTAAGTTATTCTTCCTTCAAAAATTCTATGTTATTAATGATTTAGGAGTTAGTCTTTGTATAATTTATAGAATTCTTAAAGTTTGTAGATTACTTTGAGTTGTTGTTTTGTCTTCATTTCAAAAAATTCTTGCCACTTCCATCCTAACCCTCGCTTGATTATCTAAACATCTGACTAGCATTGAAAATTTTAAACTTTGAATGCAATACTGAATCCTTGATTAAGGGTATTTTCTTGTTGATTAGGAGATTATTTTTAGCTTATTCTTTTATTTCTAGTTGGATAAAAATTTTCTCTTAGTCGAATACTTCAACATTACTCTGCATTAATTTATCTTGCTTCTAATTAATCATTTGCTACTTCTTTTTAGATTTAGCTGATAATTCGAGGGACGATCTTACTTAGAAATTATTTAATGCCTCAACAAACCGTCTTTCATGCAGGTTGTTTTAAAACTAATCCATTTCGAGTATTTCTTGGGAGATTAAATTTAATAAATAATTTTCAATACAATTATTAGAGAAACTTCTAATATATTCATTCATTTTCCTATTTAACTGATCTCAATCGATGCTTGAAAGGGGTTTTGGGGTTTTGGGGTTTTGGGG